CGTACACCAGAAACGATATTCAGCAATCTAAACGGGTACGTACACCCCCCCCCCCCCCCCCCCCCCCCCCCCCTCCTCTACATACACGTCAGTTTAAACACTTGCTGTTATGACCAATGAGTGGACTTGATTGCAGCTCAGCGGTGCACGAGGCATTTGGGAAGGAGAGCCTACCTCCAGAGATGAGACGGAGAGGTTAATAAATTGTATAGCTGTGTTGTATTGATTGCCGGGAGTGTGTGTGGTGTGAGAGGGGAGGCACATGTTGCCGTTCTGCATTGTCCGTGTCCGTCAGTCGTTCAGTCAGCTGACTACGTTACGAAGAGGTGGAGGACTAACGTGCTGATACACACTAAGGATTGATAAGCTCTCTCCGTCAGTTGTCGTGGACGCTGCTTTGTGGAGTCGGATGCCTCTGTGTTGAACATCAATAGTTCAGGCGCTGGACGCAGGTACAGTGAAAGCATGGCACATTGTTCATCTATATTCTGAAGACTTCGTGATTGCGAAAAGTCACTCCTACAATTACTTGCAATATGCATGTATTTATGAAGTGTTTTATTATTACCTTTATTCGTCAACCTGTAGTTAACGGTTCCGATATTTCAAATGAACTGTTATCAGATTCAAAGCTCGTATTCATTGTATTATCATCTTCGTTCGGCATGTTGTGTGTGGCACGTTGCCTGTATTCTTGGCGTCGTCGTAACTTGATCGCCCTGTTATTTTGGCACTGGCACCACAGGCAGGTGCGCCAATGTTGGACAGCACTCGGCACACACACAACCAGGTGCACGTGGAATCTTGTCATCACTGCTGTTGGTGCGATGGGGTAACCTAGTGGTTATAGCGTTCGCTCGTCACGCCCAAGACCCGGTTTCGATTTCCACAGGCGTACAATGCGTGAAGCCCATTTCTGGTGTCACCCGCTTTGATATTACCGGAATATTGCTAATAGCGGCATAAAACCATACTCCCTCACTCATAACTGCAATTGCCGAGGGTTAGACAACAAGGCGTGGATGACTTATAAGAGTAGAACAGGTAAACAATCCCGTGACTGATCAAGGGAATTTGTGTCCTGTTATTCAGTCACCACCCACTGTGTACCAACACCCCCTGATCTGACTCTCGGGGCAGGGCCTCAGTGTACCCCCCCCCCCCCCCCCCCCCAAACACACACCCCTACTACCCCCCTTCCCGGGGTCATGATCCCTCACAGAGCACATCATATAACTCAAGAACCGCAAGAATCCGTTAACACCGTATAACGGGGCCCGAATAACGCATTGAACATATAACACGTCCAAGAAACCACAAAGACCACATAACGGTGCACGAATACCGCCAACACGGTATATCAGTGTCCAAATATCGCCAACATCATCCGATATATCCGATAACGGTTCGACATAGTACCTCTTGCACTCTTCAAGGGTACCGCCCACAACAGACGGCGGAGCGACACACTTGGTATTTGTCCCACATTATCCAGCAGTGGTAATGACACAAGTGCAGTATGAGAAATACACGGTATTAATTAGGTCACATGCTGGTTAGCTTGCAATGGCCGGCCACAGTTGCCACGTTTCTGTACATGTATTACAGTGGCGACAATTGCCGTCCCAATGGGTGGGGTAGACAGTTTGGCTGCAGACATTTTGAAGAGTACTTAACACTACACCACTGCCACTGTGATGAATGCGTCTAAGTAACCTTTCTCCCACTGAACTATTCATTAACATTCGCGCAAGATGTTGATAATCATACGCCGATTTCATCGATGGCGGACATCGGGTTAAATTATTGAATACTCTTTCAATGTACGATTATCAGAGCAGTACATCGACTCCACTATCTAAACGAGGCAACAGCTTGACTTTATGACAGGAGTGAAAAGACAACTAGACTTTATGATCAGTTATCAGTTAAAAGACAACTTGACTGTAAACAAAGGTGAAAAGGCAGCTCGACTATATGCTGCCTGACAAGACCATCTTCTAGTAGTTATTTTGGGTAATTATCTTCACCTGAAAACAACAATGTCAATATATATATGACACGCTTCTCTTTCCGACACCAGAAACGCGACACCTCCCGACACCAGACACGCCTGACCTCCCGACACCAGACACGCTCCACCTCCAGAAACCAGACACGCTTCACCCCGACACCAGACACGCCTGACCTCCCGACGACAGACGCGCTTCACCTCCAGACACCAGACACGCTCCACCTCCAGAAACCAGACACGCTTCACCCCGACACCAGACACGCCTGACCTCCAGACACCAGACACGCCTGACCTCCCGACGACAGACGCGCTTCACCTCCAGACACCAGACACGCTTCAACTCCCGACACCAGACACGCTTCACCTCCAGACACCAGACACGCTTCAACTCCCGATACCAGACACGCCTGACCTCCAGACACCAGACACGCTTCCCCTCCAGACACCAGACTCGCTTCAACTCCCGACACCAGACACGCTTCACCTCCAGACACCAGACACGCTTCAACTCCCGACACCAGACACGCTTTACCTCAAGACACCAGACTCGCTTCACTTCCAGACACCAGACTCCTTCACCTCCAGACACCAGACACGCTTCAACTCCCGACAGTGAGACCTCATTAGACGCTGGCACTGCCGCATCATGGCTATTAATGTTTATATATGTAAAGTTGATTCATTCTGTCCCGAGAACAAAGACATAAGGGGTTCAATGAACACTAATCCCGGTGCCCGCCGATGAGGCCCGGGTCGATACTCTGACTCGATATAAAGGCACCACTTCTGACAATTGGCTTCAACAGTCTTTTTTTTCGAGTATCTGTGCGCCAGCTTAGATGCCCTGCCAGGCTCGCTGTGTCTGTATCACATCACACACAAGCCGGCTAGTCAATATTCTAATACCGTTCGTCCTCAACTCAAGGAGCCTCGACTTTCCTTGACTTTCAATGAGATATATGGGTTTAATAGGCTGTTGTGAACTTTAGATATGGCTAGCCACGTGCATGAATATTTCCGAAGGCATATTTGAGACCTTGCTGGACTCTACAAGACCGATTATGTTTGAAATCACACATGTACTGGTCAGCGATTGAGGACGACTCAACTCCCTCGAGTCGTAATGACAGTCACATTGACGCTACAGGCAAAATTATAATCATATGTTGTTCTTACGTGTGGCTCGCACGTTTGTCTCGGAGCGCACGGGTAAATACGAGTAATATGCTTTGACTATAACACTGTCCAGGTATAACGAGAGAGAGAGGGGGAGAGAGAGAGGGAGGGAGAGAGAGAGATGCTAGGGGGAGGGTAGGTTAGTGCAGAGCTTATGGCTGGTGGGGATAGGGGTGGAGCGTGAGGAGCTGTGGTTTCGGAAAGGGGGAGAGTATGGAGTTTGGGGGAAGGATTGGGGCGGGTATGGTGTGACGGGGGTAGAATGGGGAGAGTATGGAGTTTGGGGGAAGGATTGGGGTGGGTATGGTGTGACGGGGGTAGAATGGGGAGAGTATGGAGTTTGGGGGAAGGATTGGGGCGGGTATGGTGTGACGGGGGTAGAATGGGGAGAGTATGGAGTTTGGGGGAAGGATTGGGGTGGGTATGGTGTGACGGGGGTAGAATGGGGAGAGTATGGAGTTTGGGGGAAGGATTGGGGCGGGTATGGTGTGACGGGGGTAGAATGGGGAGAGTATGGAGTTTGGGGGAAGGATTGGGGTGGGTATGGTGTGATGGGGGTAGAATGGGGAGAGTATGGAGTTTGGGGGAAGGATTGGGGCGGGTATGGTGTGACGGGGGTAGAATGGGGAGAGTATGGAGTTTGGGGGAAGGATTGGGGTGGGTATGGTGTGACGGGGGTAGAATGGGGAGAGTATGGAGTTTGGGGGAAGGATTGGGGCGGGTATGGTGTGACGGGGGTAGAATGGGGAGAGTATGGAGTTTGGGGGAAGGATTGGGGTGGGTATGGTGTGACGGGGGTAGAATGGGGAGAGTATGGAGTTTGGGGGAAGGATTGGGGTGGGTATGGTGTGATGGGGGTAGAATGGGGAGAGTATGGAGTTTGGGGGAAGGATTGGGGCGGGTATGGTGTGACGGGGGTAGAATGGGGAGAGTATGGAGTTTGGGGGAAGGATTGGGGTGGGTATGGTGTGACGGGGGTAGAATGGGGAGAGTATGGAGTTTGGGGGAAGGATTGGGGTGGGTATGGTGTGATGGGGGTAGAATGGGGAGAGTATGGAGTTTGGGGGAAGGATTGGGGCGGGTATGGTGTGACGGGGGTAGAATGGGGAGAGTATGGAGTTTGGGGGAAGGATTTGGGTGGGTATGGTGTGATGGGGGTAGAATGGGGAGAGTATGGAGTTTGGGGGAAGGATTGGGGCGGGTATGGTGTGACGGGGGTAGAATGGGGAGAGTATGGAGTTTGGGGGAAGGATTGGGGTGGGTATGGTGTGACGGGGGTAGAATGGGGAGAGTATGGAGTTTGGGGGAAGGATTGGGGCGGGTATGGTGTGACGGGGGTAGAATGGGGAGAGTATGGAGTTTGGGGGAAGGATTGGGGCGGGTATGGTGTGACGGGGGTAGAATGGGGAGAGTATGGAGTTTGGGGGAAGGATTGGGGTGGGTATGGTGTGATGGGGGTAGAATGGGGAGAGTATGGAGTTTGGGGGAAGGATTGGGGCGGGTATGGTGTGATGGGGGTAGAATGGGGAGAGTATGGAGTTTGGGGGAAGGATTGGGGTGGGTATGGTGTGATGGGGGTAGAATGGGGAGAGTATGGAGTTAACATAGCATATGTTCGCCTGTGAGTAGGGACGCGTTCCGCATACTGCATCATATAGTGTGGGTTCCTCTGGAATCAAAGTGGATTTACTTGAGGACGATGAGTTGTTATATCTCGTCCGGGTCGGAAGCCCAACGGGTAATTCAGTAAGCAGCTCCCAGTTAACAGGACAGGGGAACAACTAACGCTATTTTGTCATTTATCTTCCAGATGGTGGTAATGAGGGTACTCCCCGCAGGGTTATTCTATGAGGAGGAGGAGGCGGATGCATGAGAGACAAGCGCCACCCCGTGTCAACATGCTGTGAGGAGTTGTTACCAGCATCGCATGTGCAACATCTCGTGCAGGGTGTTTATGTCACACAGAACCGCTAATACAAGCACCTGCAACCTGTGCTAATTCATCACTCTCACAGCAGATAGCCAGCGACTCCACTGAACAGGCTTGTTAGCGCATGGTCCAGTGTGAGCAACGTGCAATGTATTGAACAATAGAGCCGCTAAGTTGATTTCACACCCGACTCCAATATTTACAGAAAGAAAGCTGTAAAGGGCCATTAGATCTATAATGCTCCAGAGTATGTGTACATGAGTGGCTCGCTCTGCCGCAGGGTTTCCGAGTGTTAATAGGTACAGCTAAAAGCGTTTGGTCCACAGTTTTCACGAAAGTTTCCGAGGTTTAGAACAGCGGTATTCACAATGACGGACGCTGAACAGAGGAATCGCGTGGTTCTGCTGGGAGCGGGTGGTGTGGGGAAAAGCTCTATCTTAAAGAGATTCCTCTTCAATACATTCACAGAGGAATACAAGGAAACGGTGGAGGACCTCTACTGCCGAGAGTACGACCTTCACGGAACCAGCATCAAAGTCGACTTCTTGGATACCGCTGGAAATTTCGCCTTCCCAGCCATGCGCAAGCTGTCAATGTCCACAGCTCATGGCTTCATCCTCGTCTACTCCATCACGAGCCAGGCTTCGTTTGACGAGCTCAAGAAGCTGTGGGAACAGATCAAAGAGGAGCGCACCAACTTCCAGGATATCCCCATCGCCATTGTGGGTAACAAGGTCGATATGGAGAACGACAGACAGATCGAGAAATTTGACACGTTGAACTGGATCTACAGTGAGGGTTTTTGTGGGGGGTTTGTTGAAGTTTCTGCAAAAGAAGATGAAAGCATTTCTGATATTTTCAGAATTCTTCTTGATCAGTCACGAGGTGGCGTCCACCGCCATTTTGAACCAATCGCCAACCGCCGAGTGAGCACAAATTCCCTTGACGAGACTGAGACGGAAAAGGCCGAAGAATGGGATAGCGATGCAAAAAAGTTCAACCGTAGTCGAAGTCTCATCCGTCGTGGTAGCAAGCCCCGGATGAAAAGGTCACCGCGCCATCACGGCAAAAATGACTGTGTTCTTTCTTGATTTGGGAGACAGACTGGTTACAGCAGTGTGATACGATAAATATGTGTGCTCAACTTCAAGTTGTGACTCGCAAAATTCGTCATAAGATTCCCGTCTGGATACTTGGAGAAAATGTGTGTTAAGCTTGAAACTGACCAGTATCACCATAGCAACAGAGACATATTAACAGGCAAGACGTGTAATGTATTACAAAGCTCAACTCTATTCAATGCATATGTGTTTTGCTAACCTTGTGGTCTTATGAAAATATATCGGTCGTTAAACTCCCAGTTGACTGCACCATGTGGAACAGACAATGTGTTGAAATTATGTATAACATTTTGCTCAAACACCACGTCTGTGGTAAACTCCCCCCCCCTCCCTCCGGGGGTGGCCGTATGTATGTTTGCCGTCATTGTGTTGTGTCCATAACATGTGATATTATTATGCGGGCATTGGGAACTCCTTCGTCTGCCTTTGTTACCGCGGAGCTACTCTTATCGTGATTGATCTGGTCCAGGAAACGGACTTCACCGAGCATTTCCGAGTGAAATTCTACTCATATTTCCTTTTCAGTCAAGTGATATTACTGTAGCTTCGTTATATTTGCCTACTCTCCTCAGTCCGTTTGTTCTTGTAGCATATAGAAATAACACCATGTGCAGCTTTTAGTAGATATACTGTACAAGCAACATGCTAGTTGAATATGTTTGTATGATATATAAACAGTATGAACTAGTGCTGTGAATATGGAAATATTTACTGTCATTACATCCGGGGCTTGTGTCCTCTACTCATCTTAGTAGCAATGAGAACTAGTAGAACTGGCTCCCTAGACTTTGGTGAGTCCGCACTGAGTACTGTGTTAGTACTGGCTCCAAGACTTGGTGAGTCCGCACTGAGTACTTGTAGTACTGGCTCCATGACTTGGTGAGTCCTCACTGAGTACCGTGATAGTACTGGCTCCAATACTTGGTGAGTCCGCACTGAGTACTGTGTTAGTACCGGCTCCAAGACTTGGTGAGTCCGAAACTGAGTACTGTGTTAGTATTGGCTCCATGACTTGGTGAGTCCGCACTTAGTACTGTGTTAGTACTGGCTCCAAGACTTGGTGAGTCCTCACTGAGTACTGTGTTAGTACTGGCTCTAAGACTTGGTGAGTCCGCACTGAGTACTGTGTTAGTACTGGCTCCAAGACTTGGTGAGTCCTCACGGAGTACTGTTTTAGTACTGGCTCCATGACTTGGTGAGTCCGCACTGAGGCTGGACAGCTGTCACCTCATCAACATGCCGGACAAGGACTTGGGCAAATAACTGATTGTCGGTCACTGTATGTGAGTTCTATGCACACTACTTAGGCACTATTTAGTATTTGATGGGATCAAATGTATTGATGATGCACCGGATCACAAGCTATGGATAATGAGGCCTTTTAAAAAGCCTGTGCATACTTACGCAGGTTTCTTTTTCTCAATTCTCATTATTTCCTTCTGTTCAGTCAAGTATCATCTGGCGCCGTTTACATGCAGTTGATATCTGTCGCAGGCATCTTTATCGCAGTAAACACACAAGACCGGTATAGACTGGTAATATAACCAGTAGAGTTGATACGTGACGCTTACACTTCAACATGTGATACTACACTGGATCTGTGACAAAATGTTGGAGAAGCTAACGTCAATAAATGAGAATTACATAGGAAAAAGAACTCTTACATTTATTGAGAGACAGATGCAATTTATTTGTAAACACTACTGAATGTATGTCATGTGATGTTATCCCACCAGTTTACAGGTGCAGTCTATGTCACAGCTACAAGTCTTGTCTACAGGATTCCAGATTGAAGCATTTTGACACATAGTAGCCTGTAAAAGACGTGTCTATGACTCAACTAGGCCTGTGACGAATGTGTCTATGACTCATCTATGCCCGTGACGAATGTGTCTATGCTCAGTTAGTTCCAGGACAGATGTGTCTATGCTCAGTTAGTTCCAGGACAGATGTGTCTATGTCAAGTTATATGCATTTAGCTCCGTCTCCCATCTTAACGCACATTGTCTGACCTTTGACCTGTGAGAGTCGGGAAGTTAGGCCCAGGTATATGCAATTGCTGTCTCACTCTTATGTTCTACTTCCCATAGCTCCATGTCAATGATGGTGTTGTCTCACTCTTATGTTCTACTTCCCATAGCTCCATGTCAATGATGGTGTTGTCTCACGCTTATGTTCTACTTCCAATAGCTCCATGTCAATGATGGTGTTGTCTCACGCTTATGTTCTACTTCCCATAGCTCCATGTCAATGATGGTGTTGTCTCACTCTTATGTTCTACTTCCCATAGCTCCATGTCAATGATGGTGTTGTCTCACGCTTATGTTCTACTTCCCATAGCTCCATGTCAATGATGGTGTTGTCTCACGCTTATGTTCTACTTCCCATAGCTCCATGTCAATGATGGTGTTGTCTCACTCTTATGTTCTACTTCCAAAAGCCACATGTCAATGATGGTGTTGTCTCACGCTTATGTTCTACTTCCCATAGCTCCATGTCAATGATGGTGTTGTCTCACGCTTATGTTCTACTTCCCATAGCTCCATGTCAATGATGGTGTTGTCTCACGCTTATGTTCTACTTCCCATAGCTCCATGTCAATGATGGTGTTGTCTCACTCTTATGTTCTACTTCCCATAGCTCCATGTCAATGATGGTGTTGTCTCACTCTTATGTTCTACTTCCCATAGCTCCATGTCAATGATGGTGTTGTCTCACTCTTATGTTCTACTTCCCATAGCTCCATGTCAATGATGGTGTTGTCTCACGCTTATGTTCTACTTCCCATAGCTCCATGTCAATGATGGTGTTGTCTCACGCTTATGTTCTACTTCCCATAGCTCCATGTCAATGATGGTGTTGTCTCACTCTTATGTTCTACTTCCCATAGCTCCATGTCAATGATGGTGTTGTCTCACTCTTATGTTCTACTTCCCATAGCTCCATGTCAATGATGGTGTTGTCTCACTCTTATGTTCTACTTCCCATAGCTCCATGTCAATGATGGTGTAGTACTCTTGTACTAACTATATGACGGAAATATTGCCGATGCGAAGTTTAATTTTAACTCACTCACTCACTGTACTAACTGCAAATCATTGACAGCGGTATTAACTTTGTATTAGCTCCTAGTTATTGACAGTCTATCATCTAGTTTGTACGTCTCTTATTTATTGACAGTCTATCATCTAGTTTGTACGTCTCTTATTTGTTAACAGAACTGCATTACCTTTGCAACTTGCATTTACTGACAGCGTTTGAACGCCTAGTTTTGTGATTTGTAATAAGTGTTGTTTTCATCTCATTTGACGTTTTCACTCAACAAAACCCCAGGGGTCCCGTTTGACAAAGCGACTCGCATGAGATTACATCAATCCCATCGCTATAACTCCTGCGTTGCTTGCGCTAAGCGTTGGACGTGTTCACTGGTCAGGCTTCATAATGTCTGTTGGATGTTGGACGTGTTCACTGGTCCAGCTTCATAATGTCTGTGGGATCTTGGACGTGTTCACTGGTCCAGCTTCATAATGTCTGTTGGATCAAGAACGTGTTCACTGCTCCAGTTTCATAATGTTCAGGGGTGTTGGACGTGTTCACTGGACCAGCTTCATAATGTCTTTGGGATGTTGGACGTGTTCACTGGACGAGCTTCTTAATGTCTGTGGGATCTTGGACGTGTTCACTGGACCAGCTTCATAATGTCTTTGGGATCTTCGACGTGTTCACTGGTTCAGCTTCATAACGTCTGTTGGATGTTGGACGTGTTCACTGGTCCAGCTGCATAATGTCTGTGGGATCTTGGACGTGTTCACTGTACCAGCTTCATAATGTTTGTGGATGTTGGACGTGTTCACTGGTCCAGCTACATAATGTCTGTGGGATGTTGGACGTGTTCACTGGTCCAGCTTCATAATGTTTGTGGACGTTGGACGTGTTCACTGGACCAGCTTCATAATGTTTGTGGATGTTGGACGTGTTCACTGGTCCAGCTTCAGACTGCTGTTTGGTAGACGTGTTCACTGGTTCAGCTTCATAATGTCTGTTGGATGTTGGACGTGTTCACTGGTCCAGCTACATAATGTCTGTGGGATCTTGGACGTGTTCACTGGACCAGCTTCATAATGTTTGTGGATGTTGGACGTGTTCACTGGTCCAGCTTCAGACTGCTGTTTGGTAGACGTGTTCACTGGTCCAGCTTCATAATGTCTGTTGGATGTTGGACGTGTTCACTGGTCCAGCTTCAGACTGCTGTTTGGTAGACGTGTTCACTGGTCCAGCTTCATAATGTCTGTGGGATGTTGGACGTGTTCATTAGTCCAGCTTCATAATGTCTGTGGGATGTTGGACGTGTTCACTGGTCCAGCTACATAATGTCTGTGGGATCTTGGACGTGTTCATTAGTCCAGCTTCATAATGTTTGTGGGATCTTGGACGTGTTCACTGGTCCAGCTTCATAATGATGTTAGGTAGACGTGTTCACTGGTCCAGCTTCATAATGTCTGCGGGGTGTTGGACGTGTTCACTGGTCCAGCTACATAATGTCTGTGGGATCTTGGACGTGTTCATTAGTCCAGCTTCATAATGTCTGTGGGATCTTGGACGTGTTCACTGGTCCAGCTTCATAATGATGTTAGGTAGACGTGTTCACTGGTCCAGCTTCATAATGTCTGCGGGGTGTTGGACGTGTTCACTGGACCAGCTACATAATGTCCGCGGGGTGTTGGACGTGTTCACTGGTCCAGCTTCATAATGCTGTTAGGAAGACGTGTTCACTGGTTCAGCTTCATAATGTCTGTGGGATGTTGGACGTGTTCACTTGTCCAGCTACATAATGTCTGTTTGGTGGACGTGTTCACTGTTCCAACTTAATGTTGGACGTGTACAGTCGGTATGTGTTTAATGATACATATCAGAGCAGAAATATACAATATTACTGCTGTTCTGCTGATTTAAGCTGCGAGTAATCAAGTTGAATCCAATCTGCAGGTCAGTATTAGGACTTCCCCAACATACTGACCACACCCTGTTTACCAAAGGTCATTTCACTCCGGGGCCACGGGTGACCCAGTCGTCTTAGGCACCGCGATTCGCTGTGCAGGGTTGTGTCCCCCGGGCACGCCAGAACCTATGATTGTGGGTTCGAATACCGGTGCTCCCTGATTATGTTTCTAGGTTTATCAGCACCATACCCGTGCTCGTGGGTTTCACCAAATTGGTAAACGTCTGAGACCTGCATCTTCGGGCTTTCCTCCCACATTAGGCTGACACGCCGTGATATAACTGGAGAACTGTTAAAAGCGGCGTTAAACCCAACTCACTCACTCACTCTTTTCACTCCCCCACCCTCCCCCACTCCCCCTTCCGGGTTAAAATTGGTCTTTCGCAACACAAGTTCCTTGTTTGTCGGTCAGTGAATTGTCTCAATAATTTACAGACCGCCGTCATATAGCTGGAATCTTGAAGAGAGCGGGGTTATACGACAAACAATAACTTCACGCTCCACGCAGCGCAGTCAGCAAGTGTAAACAAGACTAGCTGTTAGTAAAATTGATCGGATTTAAAATGAAACATGGCTAATTTTGCTATGGAAGGACATATTTTATTGATCATTTCTCAGTCTGTGTCGGATCCACCGAGAGGTAATCGCTGACAGTCCGGATGTATTATTCTAGTATTTCCGTGAAAAAGCTTTTTGTCCTTATGCCCCATCAACACGGCCGTGGAAGCTCCATGACGACGCTGTTGTTGTCAATGTTGTGGCACACGTGGACACTGCGCGTTTGTAGGTTTAATAATCCCGATATTTTAAGACCCTTGTTTGTCTTTAAGTCAGTAACGTATATTGCCCCAGAGTCTACACACGTGATCGACGAGTACTGGCTGCGGCACTCTTGATTCAGACTGACGCTTTTGTTTAAATATTGATCAGGATGACGAAGAAAGTACAGGCAGACATGGGATAGTTTAAGGGGTTAAAGGAATATCGAGTCACGTGACACCTGTCTATCAAGTGGTCAGACTTTTCCTTCTTCTTGAGCTCCGTCTGTGTGAGAGACGTGTCGATCCTGAACCATTCTACCAATAGAAACATGTCACTCACCTGACACGTGGAATGAATTGATTTTTGCAAGAAGTAAAAATAGATATCTTTTGGACGTTTATTATTTTGTGAATCTAGACGCTCTGCCATTTACTTTCAGTTTATTAATTCTTTATTGGAAGGTTTTTTAGGTCTCTCAGGTTGTTCTGGGGCCATTAACGCCGCATTATTGGGTAGAGTGGTTCGTCACTTGGCTGTAGGTCGTTTCTGTTTTGGGTTGGAGGAATTCGTCACTGGGATGTAGGTCATCACGAGATGGACATCTGGACTATTTGACCAGCAACGACTTTAGGGGAAGACTTTATGTTGGGTTTTAGGTATATATTTAATATTGTTTTTGGCTATTGTACATTATACTATGCTAGAGGCTGCTGTAGCCGAGGGGAGGGTGTACCGCAGTCTGTCACATCGTGTTATCTATTCCGTCTCACTCGTCCACACGATCATTCATCGAGGTCAGCGCCTTGCCATGTCCGGCGGGAATGACCGTCATCACGCGCCATGTCTGTACGTCTGGTCAAATGTTAAATTACAGGGTTAGTTTCCAACACTCATATCTTCAAATATAGGGTTACCCCCTAAAGCTACATGTTCATTTCAAAGTTATTTCCAAAAAGCTATGCAGTTGTTTGTTTGTTTTCTAACAAAAGTCATGTGTTTACGTATAAGGCTCTGTCACAAAAGCCATATGTTGATGGATAGGTTGTCTGTTTCTATTTGTGTATATCTATCTATGGTCAGTCATCTCTCCATTGTCACAGATGACACTCGGCACTGTAGTCTAATCCGCTTGAACCCCGATCTGAAGTCTTGGGGGCTGGAAGAAAGTAGGAACATATATTCAACCCAACTGGTCATAGTTAGGGTTATTTGGACAAAGGGCTGAGGTCAAGGGTGAAGCACGGACCCACCGCTAGTTGGAGTCGAACCCTGACAACTGCGCGTGTGGGTTTGAACTGACCTGCCTCCCACACGTCCGCCTAATAACCTGAGACAGTTTACCGAATACAAGAATGGAACTATTGGAAATGTGGATACTAAACTACGATGAAAGAAGACAAGAACTGATCATGTTCAAACCCTCTATGCTGCTATATCCTGCTGGGTCACCGGCTCACAAGTACACTGTCACTACCGGGATACCCTACTTGTTACGGGTAAAGTGGTGTCGGATAATGGTCGGAGATTCGCTTGTGCCGCTATCACAGTGTTGCCTGCGCAGACCAGACTGCCCTCTGTGTCTTAGCTCTGTTGTCAAGCTTCCAACGTACACACATCACTGTCAAAAAGATGACCTCTGATTGGAGTTGTGTGTAGAACAGCGCCCTCTGGTGAAGCCGTGTCTCTTGTAGATACCAGATTCCGAGATTCTACACCTGCTTCCCCTCTACGCCCCGCTAACCCCCCTACACCCCGCCAACCACCCTATACCCCGCTGACCCCACCCCTCCACATACACACCTCGATGGTCCGAGATGCAACACCGCTCTGTCCTCCGCTACACCGCCCAACACTCTACTATGCCCAGCTACCCATCTCTACATCCCGCCCCACTCCACTACGCCCAGCTACCCATCTCTACACCCCGCCACGCTCCACTACGCCCAGCTACCCATCTCTACACCCCGCCACGCTCCACTACGCCCAGCTACCCATCTCTACATCCCGCCCCACTCCACTACGCCCAGCTACCCATCTCTACATCCCGCCCCACTCCACTACGCCGAGCTACCCATCTCTACATCCCGCCCCACTCCACTACGCCCAGCTACCCATCTCTACATCCCGCCACGCTCCACTACGCCCAGCTACCCACCTCTACATCCCGCCACGCTCCACTACGCCGAGCTACCCATCTCTACATCCCGCCCCACTCCACTACGCCCAGCTACCCATCTCTACACCCCGCCACGCTCCACTACGCCCAGCTACCCATCTCTACACCCCGCCCCACTCCACTACGCCCAGCTACCCATCTCTACATCCCGCCCCACTCCACTACGCCCAGCTACCCATCTCTACACCCCGCAACGCTCCACTACGCCGAGCTACCCATCTATACACCCCGCCACGCTCCACTACGCCGAGCTACCCATCTCTACATCCCGCTCCACTCCACTACGCCCAGCTACCCATCTCTACATCCCGCCCCACTCCACTACGCCGAGCTACCCATCTCTACATCCCGCCCAACTCCACTACGCCCAGCTACCCATCTCTACATCCCGCCCCACTCCACTACGCCCAGCTACCCATCTCTACACCCCGCCACGCTCCACTACGCCGAGCTACCCATCTCTACATCCCGCCCCACTCCACTACGCCCAGCTACCCATCTCTACATCCCGCCCCACTCCACTACGCCGAGCTACCCATCTCTACATCCCGCCCCACTCCACTACGCCCAGCTACCCATCTCTACATCCCGCCCCACTCCACCACGCCCAGCTACCCATCTCTACACCCCGCCACGCTCCACTACGCCCAGCTACCCATCTCTACATCCCGCCCCACTCCACTACGCCCAGCTACCCATCTCTACATCCCGCCCCGCTCCACTACGCCGAGCTACCCATCTCTACATCCCGCCCCACTCCACTACGCCCAGCTACCCATCTCTACATCCCGCCCCACTCCACTACGCCCAGCTACCCATCTCTACATCCCGCCCCACTCCACTACGCCGAGCTACCCATCTCTACATCCCGCCCCACTCCACTACGCCGAGCTACCCATCTCTACACCCCGCCACGCTCCACTACGCCGAGCTACCCATCTCTACACCCCGCCCCACTCCACTACGCCCAGCTACCCATCTCTACACCCCGCCACGCTCCACTACGCCCAGCTACCCATCTCTACATCCCGCCACGCTCAACTACGCCAAGCTACCAATGAGATTGTGTAGTCAATCTGACTGTGTGTTTGACCACTGTCTGGGATTGTTTAGTCAATCTGACTGTGTTTGACCACAGTCCTGCTATTGTGTAGTCAATCTGACTGTGTGTTTGACCACTGTCCTGCTATTGTGTAGTCACTCTGACTGCGTGTTTGACCACTGTCTGGGATTGTTTAGTCAATCTGACTGTGTTTGACCACAGTCCTGCTATTGTGTAGTCACTCTGACTGTGTCACTCTGACTGTGTGTTTGACCACTGTCTGGGATTGTTTAGTCAATCTGACTGTGTTTGACCACAGTCCTGCTATTGTGTAGTCAATCTGACTGTGTGTTTGACCACTGTCCTGCTATTGTGTAGTCACTCTGACTGTGTCACTCTGACTGCGTGTTTGACCACTGTCTGGGATTGTTTAGTCAAATTGACTGTGTTTGACCACAGTCCTGCTATTGTGTAGTCAATCTGACTGTGTGTTTGACCACTGTCCTGCTATTGTGTAGTAACTCTGACTGTGTCACTCTGACTGTGTGTTTGACCACTGTCTGGGATTGTTTAGTCAATCTGACTGTGTTTGACCATAGTCCTGCTATTGTGTAGTCAATCTTACTGTGTGTTTGACCACTGTCCTGCTATTGTGTAGTCAATCTGACTGTGTCACTCTGACTGCGTGTTTGACCACGGTCCTGGGATTGTTTAGTCAAACTGACTGTGTTTGACCACTGTCCTGCTATTGTGTAGTCAATCTGACTGTGTCACTCTGACTGCGTGTTTGACCACGGTCCTGGGATTGTGTAGTCAATCTGACTGTGTGTTTGACCACTGCCTTGGGAGGTAAATGTAAGAGGTTATATTTGTTATGTTTGTGTTGAAGCGAAATGTACCCTGGTATTCAGTGTTTGGGTGATTGTTTGACGACAGACAAACCGTTAATTCCTTATAAAGGTAGCTTATCTCAGTGTGGTTGTCGTGACACGTGACCATTTGACTACGTGACAAGGTGCCTCGTGTTGCGTCCTCAAAGATGTGCTGTGTCATCATGTCTCTTTTATGCAAGACTGACAGCTCTCAGTTGATACTTGCCACGTCATAGTTGATACTTGCCACGTCATAGTTGATACTTGCCGTATGTAGGGTTGATAGATTTCCACATGCCCCCGGAGAAAGCTTTATATGGTTGATCTGTGTCCTGCACGCGCCTCTGCCAGTGAACTATCAACTGTAGTACTAGTGTCGAATTTAGGGTTGTATATTTAGTGAAACAATGTTGAATTACGCCAATTGAATAAACCAGTAAATTTTCAACAACTGTTTGTGTATAAGTCGAGTGTGACTGATCACATTGCTTCAAATGTCTCTGGTTGTGTCTACAGGTTTGGCAAAGCGAGTTTGTCCACACTATGGATGCAGGCAGAGGTACATAGTTTATTGACTCCCGGTAGAAACACGGCCAGAGGTACAGAGTCTATTGCCTCCCTGTAGGATCACCGCCAGAGTTACATAGTCTATTGCCTCCTTGTGGGAACATGGCCAGAGGTACATAGTCTATTGCCTCCTTGTAGAAACACTGCCAGAGGTACATAGTCTATTGCCTCCTTGTAGAAACACGGCCAGAGGTACATAGTCCATTGATTCCCTGCAGGAACACTGCCAGAGGTACATAGTCTATTGCCTCCTTGTAGAAACACTACCAGAGGTACATAGTCTATTGCCTCCTTGTAGAAACACGGCCAGAGGTACATAGTCCATTGATTCCCTGCAGGAACACGGCCAGAAGTACATAGTCCATTGATTCCCTGCAGGAACACGGCCAGAGGTACATAGTCCATTGATTCCCTGCAAGAACACGGCCAGAGGTACATAGTCCATTGATTCCCTGCAGGAACACGGCCAGAGGTACATAGTCCATTGATTCCCTGCAGGAACACGGCCAGAGGTACATAGTCTATTGCCTCCCTGTAGGATCACCGCCAGAGTTACATAGTCTATTGCCTCCTTGTGGGAACATGGCCTGAGGTACATAGTCCATTGATTCCCTGCAGGAACACGGCCAGAGGTACATAGTCTATTGCCTCCTTGTAGAAACATGGCCAGAGGTACATAGTCCATTGCCTCCTTGTAGAAACACGGCCAGAGGTACATAGTCTATTGCCTCCTTGTAGAAACACGGCCAGATGTATAACTACACATGTACTAATTCCCCCTTGTAGGAACAGGCCGGAGGTACATGGTATATTGACTTCCCGTAGGAACACGGCAAAATCTATATAGTCTATTGCCTCCTTTATACACACATCATTCATTATAATAAGTAAAAGCGCATTGAATGTTGTTTTAAAAGGTACTCCTTTTACGTTCACATCTACCGCGTTCAACACCTTCCCCGTTCACTATCTGACAAGTTCATTATTTTCCACGCTCACAACCTTCCTCGTTCACCAGTTTCAACGTTCACCATCTACCAAATTCACCATCTACCACATTCACCATCTATAACGTTCACCATCTACCACATTCACCATCTATAACGATCACCATCTACCACATTCACCATCTATAACGTTCACCATCTACCACATTCACCATCTATAACGTTCACCATCTACCACATTCACCAGCCACCAAGGAACCATCTACCACATTCACCATCTTTAACGTTCACCATCTACCACATTCACCATCTATAACGTTCACCATCTACCACATTCACCATAAACCACATTCACCATCTAACACCTTCACAATCTAACACTTTCACCATCTAACATGTTCACCATCTAACACGTTCAACATCTGACATGTTCACCTTCTAACACCTTCACCATCTAACATGTTCATCATCTACCACATTCACCATCTACCACATTCACCATCTACCACCATCACTATCTAACACCTTCACCATCTAACACATTCAGCATCTAACAGGACCCCGTCTAACACCTTCACCATCCAACACATTCACCATCTAACACCTTCACCATGTAACACGTTCAAAATCCAACACGTTCCACAACTAACATGTTCACCATCTAAAACATTCACCATCTAACACCTTCACAATCTAACACCTTCACCATCTAACATGTTCACCATCTAACATGTTCACCATCTAACATATTCACCATCTAACACATTCACCATCTAACACCATCACCATCTAACACCTTCACCATGTAACACGTTCACCATCTAACATGTTCACCATCTAACATATTCACCATCTAACACATTCACCATCTACCACATTCACCATCTAACACCTTCAAAATCTAACACCTTCACCATCTAACATGTTCACCATCTAACATGTTCACCATCTAACATGTTCACCATCTAACATGTTCACCATCTAACATATTCACCATCTAACACATTCACCATCTAACACCTTCACCATCTAACATGTTCACCATCTAACATGTTCACCATCTAACACATTCACCATCTAACACCATCACCATCTAACATATTCACCATCTAACATGTTCACCATCTAACATGTTCACCATCTAACATATTCACCATCTAACACATTCACCATCTAACACCTTCACCATCTAACATGTTCACCATCTAACATGTTCACCATCTAACACATTCACCATCTAACACCATCACCATCTAACATATTCACCATGTAACACGTTCACCATCTAACATATTCACCATCTAACACGACCCCGTCTAAAACCTTCCGCATCTAACATGTTCATCATCCAAAACCTTCACCATCTAACACGTTCAAAATCTAACACGTTCCCCAACTAACACGTACACCATCTAAAACATTCACCATCTAACACATTCACCATCTAACACCTTCACCATCTGACACGTTCACCATCTCACATCTTCACCATCTAACACATTCACCATCTAACACATTCACCATCTAACACCTTCACCATCAAACACGTTTACCATCAAACACTTCACCATCTAACATGTACACAATATACGAAATTCACCACCTAAAACCTTCACCATCGGACACATTCACCATCTAAAACCTTCACCATCAAAAACCTTAACCATCTAACACGTTCACCATCTAACACATTGACCATCTAACACGTTCACCATAATACACATTCATCATATAACACCTTCACCGTCTAACAATTTCACCATCAAAAACCTTCACCATCTAACACCTTCACCATCAAAAACCTTCACCATCAAAAACCTTCACCATCTAACACGTTCAAAATCTAACATATTCACTATCTACCACCATCACCATCCTACACCTTTACCATGTAACACCTTCATCATCTAACACCTTTACCATCTAACACCTTCACTATCTAACACCTTCCCCATCTAACACTTTCATTATCTAACACATTCACCATCTAACAAGTCCACCATCTAACACATTCACAATCTAACACATTTGCCATCTAACACATTCACCATATAACAAGTTCCCTAAATAACACATTCACCATCTAACACATTCACCATCTAACACATTCACCATCTAACACGTTCAGCATCTAACACGTTCAACATCTAACACGTTCAAAATCTACCACATTCACCATCTGACACGTTCACCATCTAACATCTTCACCATCTAACACATTCACCATCAAACACGTTCACCATCTAACATGATCACCATCTAACACCTTCACCATCAAACACATTCACCATCTAAAATTTTCATCATCTAACACATGTACCATATAACACCTTCACCATCTACCATATTCACCATCTAACACGTTCACCATCTAAGACGTTCACTATCTAGCACCTCCACCATCTAACACTTTCACCATCTAACACGTTCACCATCTTACACTTTCACCATATATCACATTCACCATCCAACAACCTTCACCATCTAACACTTTCACTAACTAACACATTCACCATCTAACACATGTACCATATAACATCTTCACCATCTACCATATTCACCATCTAAGACGTTCACTATCTACCACCTCCACCATCTAACCCATTCACCATCTAACACGTTCACCATCTAACACGTTCAACA